TCAATGGTAAACTGTCGCAGAGCAGGAACTAAGTCTTCTTATATTACAACCAGGTGCTAGCTGTACATAGTACATAGAAACAGGAAGAATCTGCTAACTACCCAAAGAGTGGGATAGCTGACATGAATCTGAGTAGCATATTTAAGAGCACAGAATAGGAAATGGTATCCATAATAAAGATGTAAATTTCTTTAACATTTGGTCCATAAACTTTTGTAGGGGGAAAAAAATGTAAGGTTTAAGCCAGGCACAGTGGTCCGAGCATGTAATCCCAGCTACTTGGGAGGCTGAGGTAGGAGAATCCCTTGGGCCTGGGAGTTGAGTCCAGCCTGGGCAACTCAGGGAGATCTTGTCTTTTAAAAAAAGAAAGAAAAAAAGTGAGGTTTAAAGAGTTCCAGGAAATGTAAGCTGAATGAATTATTTCAATTAGAGAAGATTAATAGTGGATAATTAAATGCTTTCATAACAACTGGTAGAAGAAAATATTTCTTGCTTATTTCAAGCAAGAGTGGGGGGGAAATTAGGAGACTGGTGTAGGGAGAAATGAGTCTCAAAATGAGAATGACTTCAGTATACATCAACCAAATTAAAATAACATTAGGCCAGTCAAACTTACAATAGGTAGAAACTGATGATAGGTAGAAACAACAAAATACAAAGCTACAAATAAATCCATTTAGTTCATTTGCAACTTTTGTCCTTGAATATGTAACAGCAAATAAATGTGCCTGTGACTTTAGTATTCCTGGGGCAAAAAGCAAACCTCCCTACCTTGAAAACAAACTCCCTCCTTTCACACTAGATGGATTTCCATATTGTTTCCATAATACAGAAAATCTTAGCTGCAGACTCAACTAAAAGAGAAACCAGAGAACCAAAAGACAACAAATTATTCTCAACTTAAAACCCCTCAAAATCAAAACTAAGTGTGGGAAATACAGAACACTCTCGGACTAGAGAAATCAGGAACAAAGAAAGTGACATTTTCTAGGTCTCCACAGCACTTTTTGACATAAAATGGCTGAATCAGAATTGGAAAGGCAACCAGGAGTTGAAGGCATAGTCTTCCCAAAGTCACCCACTCATTCTTTCCATTCAACAGAATGTTTCCCCAGGCATAACTGACTCAGGGCTCAGTTTTACCATCTGTAAAATGTCTACTTCCCAAGTGGTGAGGACAACAGCAGTTAATGTTTATCAACCATGTTACTTGCTTAATGATTTACAATCCTATAAAATAGATATTATTGCCATTTTATAGATGAGAAAATTGGATCACAAAGTGACTTATTTAAGATGATCACCACAGCTTTGGGGTCTAGGTATTACTAACCCCAGAAACTTCAGAGCAACTAACCCAGTGCCTTAACAAGTGTGTTCCCTTTCTTCATGGCCAATGATATTGTTGTCATTTTTTTCTTTTTCTTTCTTTTTTTTTTTGAGTCAGGTTTTCACTCTGTAACCCAAACTGGACCTCTCCGGGGATCAAGCAATCCTTCCGCCTCAGCATCCCGAGTAGCTGGGACTTCAGGCACATGCCATCACGCCCAGTTAATCTTTTTTTTTTTTTTTTTTTTTTTGGGTAAAGATGAGGTTTTACTATGCTGCCCAGGCTGGTCTCAAACTCCTCAGCTAAAGCAATCTGCCCACCTCAGCCTTCCAAAATGTTGGGATTACAGGTGTGAGCCATCTTGCCCAGCCTCCCACCATCTCTTAAGGAATAAAAAATTTTTTAAAAAGACATTTTTAAAGAAACCTACTATGTGCTCGGCATGTTAAATTAATGAGTCCTCATATAGCCTTCTGAAGTTGGTTTAGGTTTCAAGTAAGTTTAAGCAACCCCCCCCCCCCCC